TAAGTCGAAACCTTTCAGCGTTTGCACTGATATCCGCCGAGCCTGCGTTCTGTGCCCTCTCTTCTTTGTGTTTACATAGATGGAAGTGAGGCAAAGGCAGGGCGATGAGTGTGTCAGTATAGAAGATATCGGGACGAGAAGGTTGCCGTTAGCAGAAGACCTTGTTTGGCTTAAGTGGAAACCTTTTAGCGTTGGCACTGGTCTCCGCCAAGGCTGCGCTCTGTCCCTTCTCCTGTTCGTGTTGTCTATGGACAGAATAGTCAGGAGCAGCCAAGGCGATGAGTGTATCGGTACAGGAGATGTTGAGACGAGAATATTGCTGTCTGCAAGCGATATTGTTTTGTTGGCATCTTCTGAAACAGAGCTACAGCGTTCAGTGGAGAGGTTCGCAGCCGAGTGTGACGTGGATGCTTTCAGGAAGCAAATCTAAACAGTTAGTACTTTCCCAAGCAACCTACGGGAGACCCCGGAAACAGACAAGGATGACCTGGGCCGGGTGTCTCCACAGGCTCTGCTGGAGACTCGGGTTATCTTTCATCAAGGCTGAAACGCTGACGCAGGATTGGGGACGCTGGCGGCCCCGTCTGACGCGTGAGGATAAACGGTGGCTGACTGCCTGAGGTAAAAAGTCATTTCAGCTGCTCCATCGATTGCTTGCCACTGACTGAATTATGAACATCGACAATAATCTTGCATATTTCTTGTGTTACTTTGGCCACCTAAACTGTACGTTGAGCAGGGAAGACTGCTGCAGTCTTGAGATTTTCCGCGCGAAGATTCACAGATGATTTCTGAACATTAATTGCGTAATTCCATTTACAACACTGTGGTTGCTGAGCGGAGTGATCTGTCTTCTGTTATGATATCACCGGTCGCGAAGAAATTAACCTGTTTTTGTAATCTGATCAGGTTACGAACTGAGGCTTTCCCCATCTCCCGAGATGTGGCAACAACTGTCAGCAGTTGTATTACAATCATATCATACCTTTGTATGTCAGCAGCTCGAAGCCAGCCTAGGGAATACTGGAAAATGGGATGTTGCCATTACCCAAGGCCATAGTTCTTTGATCCAGTGGTCATAATTCACCTTATGTGCGAAGATGAAGTCATCATGCAAGAAATTTATTGCTATGTGCTGCTAATCCGATACAAATAAGACCAGATATCGACTTTGTCCGTCCTCTTAAATAAGTTCATCAAGTAATACTTTTTCTAGAACTTGTTTCCTAAGAATTTCGCGGTTTCTAACGCTTCTCGTCTGAGTGCATTTTGCGCATCTGAAAGATGGTTTTTTAATCAAGATGCAAAATTTCTCATAACGTCATCATTTACTATCGAATTTAACACCCGGTTCTTGTTGGGAATTTATGACTGAAAAGTCTTACATAAATTCAAAGGATCTCGCAGCATCAATTTAGACTTGCAACCTACATACCGCGTAAAAATTCGTTGCATGGCGAGTGAGATGACTGGCATTTATTCTAGGATCGTTCACGTTTTCTTCGATTGTGTTGTTTTCGTATCCGCACTTCCCGTCAGGTACTGCACATCAGTGTCTAAATGCGTGCAGTCTGTGGTCGTGTAGGTTTCAATTCCGATATCTGACACAACTAGTATGTTGTTGTTTTATGCCCTAACCGATCGATTACGGCGAGTGGCTTCCTGCGCAACGTGATTCGTAGTTTCGGGATGCATGTGAAAGAATGCCTTAGCAGCAATTTTTTTTATTGGGCTGGCAACATTTTAGAAAAAGCTTAATTCAGATTTCGCACTTCAATTACTTCAGCCAAAGTTCTCCTGTCCCGAAAACCAGTGTTATAAGAAAAAGGTTTCGTTGGGAGGAACTGTACTTTTCTTTACGTGCAGTTTGCTGAGGAAGAAAGCGCTTCAACTGAACTTATTCTTTTATCATTTCCTCACTGTTCGCTGTTTTTGGTGTCATGTGCGTTAACTTCGACTTCCTAATTAACTACGTGCATAATTCACCTTTTTATTGAAGTTTCAGTTCACACTACCTTTGACTCCTTATACCCTTCTACTTATATGAAAGTTTTTTTATATAGGAAGATCAAGTGCCACTCAGAAATTAATCGGCATCGATTTGAAAATAAGGGCAAAAATGAATAACACTTCTTTTCTGTATACCCGGGTCGTGTTCAGTAATCGGATCGCTGGTTTTTGTTTTGGGTCATAACTTCAAGATCACACTGTAAGTCAAGCAATCAGCATATATTCTCCCTTTGCACAACCATTGCCTCCAGTTACTTGAAACCTTTTATGACTTGCTGATACTATCACTGTCCACAATCTGATAAGCAATTATTTAATTGTGAAACTAAGTAAGACAGTGAAACAGCAGCTTCGGCATTTCGAATGATTTCTAATCGTCTCCATTAGGCATACAAAGGAAGTAATTAGGCTGAAAATGAAACATCCAAAGGCGTCGAAAGGTTCAGTTGCTCATACAGTCAAATAAGAGCTTTTTCTATTATTCCATGTATCTGTAAAGGATCTCCGCACAAGAAATACAATAAGACTTAGCAGCGATTAAACTCAACGTTGCTTCATGTGATATTCATTTGACTTTACGACGTGCTTAGAAAGTATTGTTTTGACCGTTACAAATGACTAAACCACTTATTCGTAAATCTGACATTCGAAAAACTGTTTACTGGATACCATGGCATTTTGAATTTATTGTGCATATATTCTCCAACGTTTTGGATCATGCTTGATCCACGTTCAGACAGAGGCATTCTAAACGCTGGAAAGTGTGCAGAACAAATTCGCTACGCCATGCTATCCCGTAAATGATTTTTCTAATTTTGAAATGAATTCTCACATAAATAACGTAAGCTCCGTTTTAAAACTGACATATCGGATTTGGACTATGGTCGGCCCAACTTCAGACAAAGCAATGATCAGAAACTATTTGAAACGTGAAGTAAATGTCGTAACTCCATTATCTTTGAATATGCTGGAAATCTGCTGGTAGAATTAAACCCTCAGTAGCAACTTATTTTGAGGGAGAAAAGCTCCTATTAGTTATAATCACGACCACCCTAACCGCCGCCGATTATCGACGTTATTCAACGGGCGTATTTCGTGATCGTTGAGCTGAAGTTGTTGCGATTTGAGTGCATGAGGTGCGGATCTCGGTGTGCAAACGTTTTTTACAGGCTTCCAAGATATGTCCTCTAGTCCTGGAAAACGAAGCCGACGAAGTCTGAGAGGCGATAAGGTGTCGAGCGACGACATGTACGACCAGGGAAGTTGGGAGTGCACAGTGTGCACATATCGCAATAGCGCTGAGTCGTTCCACTGCATCATGTGCGACACTCGAAAGGGTACGTCCACCCGAAAACCGAAGCTCAACTCGGCCGTCGTCCAGCAGCAGCAGACTGTACACAAGTTCGTCCAGCAGCAAGCAGCGATGCTGGCCAGTGAACTGCGCGAAAAAGAGAAGCAGAGAGAGAAGGCCAGCTGCAGTAAACCGACTTCGGTCGTCGTCAAGGATACGAAGGACTACACGGCCAACAACAGTCCGCTGAAAGCGGACAGTCCGGCGGTGACCGGTTCGAACGTTTCGTCCCCTGCGCCATCTACGTCCATGACTCCAACGCCGCAGCCATACTCGCCGCTGGTCAGCGACTCGAATTCGGCCACCAGCAATCGTAGCACGCCTCGTCAAACGACAAAGAAGATCATTTTAGATCGAAACCGATCGATGAATTTGGATCTTAATAGCGCTCGGACCTTGGCTGTAACTGTAAATAATGTCACTGTGATAATTACGGATTACAAATTGAATCCGATCGAGCCGAAGGAGAAAAAGAGCAAACGAAAGCGAATGAAAACTGGTAAAAAGCGGACTGACGACTCTGAAAACGATGACGTTGTTCGTCCGTCTACCGAAATGAACAAGTACTCTGACTGACCGCATTGCCATTGTCCATCCATCAATGCATGACGTTGTACGCTAAAGGCTTACTGACTCGTTGGTCGATCGTCAACAACGTCATTGCGAGATATGTCGTTTACATTCATTTCATTACTTTGTTTTACCGATGCTATATTTTGATTATATACATTAAACTGATATTTATTTTTTTGTCTTTGAATAGCTGTGGACGTATGCCTAGCCCGAATGTAAACCGCTTCCATAGATTTACAAGGGTGAAACACCGTCCCCTTGCTTCTACTAGCCTACGGGACAGTTTAACCAGGCCATGGTTCCATGGGATTTCTACGCCGTGTAAGTCCGGAGAAATTCCACGAGAATGTTATTCCGCCCGGCGGTATTGAAAACTGGCTGTTTGCTAGCATACCCTTAATACCAGGGTTTATTGTATGTACCTACGGATCAACGTATATGCGATTCCCGAATGTGCATCAGCACCGCGAATACTGCTGCTTCTAGGATGGTAATGTTCGAAGTTTTATAATTCAGCTAAAATTGTACACATTTGCTGTCATCATTATCTGTAGCAAACAAAATCTGATCATTTGCATTTGCATATTGCGTATGATATATGATATCCGTTCAGTTATATGTTTAACATTTAACATATAAGAAGACCACTGACACAAAGATAAGGCTTTAGGCGAAAAAATCGTGTTGTCGGACTGCAATGATTACGTGTCCACATCAGTGGACTGAAGAACAGAGATTGCAATACTCTGTTCAAGAAGTGCTCCAGTCATCGGGGCATTACATTATTGAGCCTCCTGTGAAAACCTCTACGCAAAGGTGTTAGAAACGAGGTACTGCGAAATGACTGAATTTAAAATCCAAGAACAGTAGTGTGAATTCAGGTATAGGCGAAGCACCTTTGACTGGGTTCCT